GAGGGGAATTCAACCATTTCTTTACTGAACTTCCAGTTTTAACTCCTTTACACTCCCTGTTGTTCGTGTGTAGTACGCACCACTCACTTAAAACAGGTGCCTTTGTCATATTTGATTCACGTGACCCACGACTAACTTACAGAGTATTTTACAACTATGTTTGTAAGTATCTATTTCTTGCCTTGTAAGTAAGTCGTCTGGACTTTCTTACGAAGCCCTATACGGAAAGTGCTGGGTTTCGGGGACGGGGTGGGCCTTGCGAGGTTCATCGGGGTTGTTTGACTTGGTACGGTCTAGCTATGTTAGGCCCCGCAACTCAACATTGCTAGCATCCGTCGCAAGCTTTCCCTCTGGAAACCGGGTTTAATTTGAATGTGAGTTCGCTCATATGCATTAGTTATTCTGGGCGGAAGACGGGGGGGGGGAGAACCTTTGCCTGTAACATCCTACTGTTAAGGCCGCTTGGTCTAGTAGTATGATTCCTGTTTTGGGGTTTGCTTACGTAAGCCATATATACAGGAGGTCGTGGGTTCAATTCCCACAGCGGCCCGCCTTTTTTGAGCGTTTTTCTGGAAGAAAACTCGCTCAGGGGGCATATTACCTCGAGGGGGGACAAGAACAAGTGGATGTATGCGCATTTTTGTCAAGAACACAGAGTCAAGCCAAGTTGCCCATGGTTTCAGGGCACTGGACTGGGGGTGTGAGAACGTACACTCGTAATTTATTCAATTTACAGAGTGCCCCAAGAGGGATATACCAGGCTTAAGCAAAAGTAAGTAAAATAGGTATTTCTATTGATACTCGTGATCCCACTGGATTTAGCGACTGTATGCATTAATGAATATTGTATCCAGTGCTCAAATACATATAATATAGCTTGATAAAATAGAGAATCAGCCCTTTCCACAAATAATGCACAATCAGTCAATTCTGGGGGGGGGGGGGTTGGCCAGGGTCAATTAATGAATTTTGTAAGAGATTTGATTCTGAGTGGGTTTAAACTTTATACTAAACTGATCCCTGATCCCTGTTCTTTTTTCCAGGTGGTGTTTTAAAGTTCTGGGTCATCTACTGTAGAGACTTGGGATATTTATTGATATTAATGTATTAATAAATTGGAGCTGTATCGAGTAAGCACGTGATAGGAATGATGATTCATCAGGAAATGCTTGTGAGCTCCTGAAGGCTCTGGGAGCATCGGGAGCTCACAAGTTTTTCCTGATGCTGCCAGCCCACGCTAAGTGCCCCTCCCCTCTTGGCCATGCATGGACATGGGTGCCCACACTCACCCCCAGGGGTAGTTTCATGCATTTAGTAGGGTTGGTCACAAGGGGATGGATTTTTAACAGTAAACTACAGAGATAGGTTTTGGAGGGGGGGAACCCCCCTATCCCCCTAGGTTACATTACATCTACAGAGCCTCAGGAACTGTGATAACCACGGGAGCTCTGGGAGCTCTCTCGGAGAACTCCAACCACAAGGTGGGGTAATCCTAGAGCTTCCGAAGCTCCCAAGGCCTTCAGGAGCTCTGGGAGCTTCAGACAATTTTCCTAATGCTACCTATGTCTGCCTAGATGTACCTGATGTACCTATATATACGTAGCTTTCCTATAATATCTAGGTAGAGGAGGTAAGTCTACTGGTGCTACTTGTCTAGGTACCAGGTACCTAGGTATGTAGGCCCTTTTTGCTGATGTACTGAGGGCTTTCCCTTGGTTGCATGCAATACCTCACAAATTTTGAGAACTACGAGAGTGACTGCAATGACTGAGCGCACTATCACAGCTGCACTCGAGGAGGGATTATCGACCGGCTCTACCTGCAAGTCCGAATTTGCGTGATTACTGTCGTTTATTGGCGTGATCGAGGAGGCGATCGCAGCAGAAGCTCAAAACGGAAATATATCACACAAGAAGAAAACTCGAGCCTAGCCTAGCCTAGGTCTCGCTAAATGCGTAATCTCACGGTAGTACTTGCCCTGCGATTCTGAACACATACATTAAGAGTCACCGTTTTTATTTATTAGATGACCACCCCCCGCTGGTAACATATTGTACAGTGGTGGACATATTAGTTGCACCACATGGTTGGACATTCACTGCTCCACCTGCCCCAACTGAACTAAAGGGATACAGGACCCAAAAATATTTGTGTAGATGGACAAATGGCCCACTAATTTAACAAATGAGAAAAAAAGAGAATGGATGTTCTGGGGAAAGAATGGTGATTAAAAGAGTTGGATAGGGCCTGATGGATCACTGTGTTGATTGGTGGTGCAA